TTAATTAAGACTTGTAACCAAAGGAATAAAAAAAAAAGGAATGTTGGGGGGGGGGTTGCCAAGAACCAACCCGGGCCCTTCAAATTAAAATTTTCCGGCAGGAAAACCCAGCCAAGGATTATTTTCCACCAATACCAATAATAAGGAGGAGGAATTCCAGGGTTTGGAAACACCCCCCCCCCCCCAGGTATCCAGGCTTCCAAAGAAAAGAAAAGGGCTGGGAAAACTCGGGGTGTCCCAGCCAAACCCCGGCCTTTCCACCGGAAACCCCGGCCAATATATCCCGGCCCCGGGGGTTAACCGGGTTTTTTTCCGGTAGGAAATCCCCGTCCTGTTTTCCGGGACCCCTTCGCCCGGGTGGGAGAGTTCGTTCGCCTTTTCGGGGGGGTGGGTTCCCGGCAACTGCCCCGGGGGGGTGGGGGGGGGGGGGAGGAAAAACAAAACGTGTAGTCAGTTGAGATGTGCGGATTGGGGCTTAGCTTGCATCATGCAAATTTACACTTGACAAAGGTCTCCCATAAGCTCAGGCAGTCGTTTGGGGACGCAGATAGCAGGAGGGGAGGACTTTTTTTTATTTATTTTGTCAGTAACCCAACGAATCCATCTCTATCCAAGAAAAGAATCGAAAGATAGATTAGCAAGGAATTCATAGCGTCAGCGAAGGTTCTGTTTTCGTCCCATCTGCGCCAATCGAAGTGTTCGGGAGAGGGAAGAGAAGAGAGGGACCACGGTGACGCACAAAAAAGAAAAAGAAAAAAGAATGCACGTATGTGTGTGTGTTTTCTTACTACATAAAATAATTTTTGGGTTTTTAGAGGACAAAAAAACTGACCGAAAGAAAGAACGAACGGAAAACACATCGAAAAATGAACGACTGATCCAAGAGGTGAAAAAAAAAAAAAAAGGTCCACAGGGATTTCGAGCGACCAGTAAACACCCGCGAACGATGCTGGGTTTCGCCGCAAAATAATATCGAAGACCAGAACGGGAGGGGAGGGAAAAAACACCAAAAGGGCAAATGAACAATATTAGTACAACAAAGGACAACAACCAAGCAGATATCAAACTGGTTTGAAAAAAGAAAGAGAAATAGAAACAAACATAAAACACATGCAACATACCAGAATGGGGAAAAAAATAGACACAAAGAAGCCGAACACAAAAGCAAGCTATTATAAACGAAAAAAATAACAAGGAAAATCCAAATGCACCTTCTCGTGGATTTCGAGTGACCGCCGTCAAAAACATATCGAAGACCAGAACGGGAGAGGAAAAAAAAAAACACGAAAAGACAATAACCAAGCAGAGATCAAACTAGTTTTGAAAAAAAAGAGAGAAAAAAACAGCATGACGCACACACGCAACGTACTAGAATCGAGAAAAAAAAAAAGGAAGAAAAAAAGAAAAAATCAAGCGTACCTTCTCGTGGATTTCGAGTGACCGCCGCAGGCATGGCTCAGCCATCGCGTCTCTCGCATCGCTCTAGAAAAAAAAAAAAAAAAGTAATGCAGCAGCCGTGGGAGAGGGGGAGGGGGGGGGGGGTACGGATAGGGTACAATGGGTTACGAAAAATGTACAACAATAAAGGTAGTCTGCGAAACAAAGATACTGCTTCTCATATCCCCATGAAGGTATATCTACGGAATTCACAGCTTCATCTGACAGAAAATGGCCGTCACGGCTTCATGCGACAAAAAACAATCGGCGGGTTGGGTAGGGGATGTGGAGTAAACCCCGTTTGTCCTCGTGTTACGGCGGTTGTGGCTGATGCTGTTAGTTGTCGTGTTACTGCCGTTCATGATTGCGTCAGTGCGGAGGGAGGTGCACCTGTTGGTAATGATGATGTGTAGGACATTCGAACTTTCGGAAAACAAAACCAGGATTCTTGACCCGGACTCCCGTACCCACCACACGCCTCACCGCAACGAAACGACACTCCCCGCCTCGCTGGATTGGGGCTAAATGGTCCCGGCTGCAAGGAAAGCAGTAACGACGACAACAACGACGACAACAACAACGACAACAACAACAACAACAACAACAACAACAACAGCAACAACAACAACAGCAACAACAACAACAACAACAACAACAACAACATAAGTACAGCACTAACATCGAAAAAAAAAAAAAAACTCTCACCTGCTCTCTGAGCATGGCCACAACACTCGCCAGCAGAGCGACCGCGCTCTCACCCCGCCCCCCGCCCGCAGACCCCCCCCCTCCGGCGGCGGCGGGGGCGGCGACGGTGCCCCCCCTCTCGTCCTCACTCAAGGCACTCTCCAAGCCGCTCTCCCGTCGCTGCAAGCCGCTCTCCCGTCGTGTCGCTACCCCCGGTGTTCCCTTCGTCGGAACTCCCGTTGCATTCGTCGGGGGCCCCGGCGCTGTTGCCGCGGTCGACTCGCCCATCCATGCCGGTGCTGGCGATCCTGGTGTTGCTGAGTCTTCATGTTGCCGGCGATTACAAGCATACGAAACAAAAAAAAGGTGAAATGAAAATAGCTGGCACGATAGGTGCTGGTGCTACGATATATTGCTTATTTATTGAGTTCGACGGCGAGAAAACGCGCAAGTACGCATACACGACAAAAACAGTATCTGCTCAAGTGGAATCAAAACAAAAAAGTGGAACGATGTGTCAAACTAACCGATCCATGCCGGTGCTAGTGCAGGGGCTGTTGAGTCTTCATTTTGCCGACCGAACAAGCAAGTACGAAATACGTGTGTTGTGACATGAAAAACAACAGGGTGTGTACATAAAACGTCGAAACTCAGCTGCTGGTGCTGGTGCTGATGATGCTGACGTTACATCAAAAGCCGGCGATAAAGCAACAACAACAACAACAACAACAACAACAACAACAACAACAACAACAAAATGTGCTGGTGGAAGGAGACGTCAAAAGCAGCAGCCTGTTGAGATGCCAAGCAGTCGGTTCGAAACCGTACAAATATGTGTTTAAACCGCACCCGTGTAGACACGGCTGCCGGTTCGAAATGTTCAGCAGACAAAGGAAGGCCCGAATCGCTCGGGGTTTAAGCAAAACAAAGCAACAATGTGCCTCCAAACATAAACCCACGGCAGACACGGCCAACAGGCTTCAGAGGGGAAAACTACTGTATCACACTCCACCCAACCCAGTCTCTCTTTATGCCTGAGCGCCGGTCGAGCAAAATGCAGGTGAACCAGAACGGACAAATAGTGATAACCTGAGAGAAGTCGAGCCACTTACCGCACTCTTCCCCCTCGGCCCCATCGCAGGAAGAATCCTCCTCCATGTCCTCCCAACTCGTCTTTCGGGGTCCTGGTGCGGCGGCAGGTCTTGCCGCCGCTCCTAGAGGGCGACCGCGGCTGTTGCTTCTGTTCCGGGTGTCATCGTTGTCGTCGTCGTCGCACCTGTCGCTGCCATCGCCGTTGCCATCGCTGTCGCCATTGCTGTTGTCATCGCTGCTGCCATCGCCCTTGCCATCGCTGGTGCCATCGTTGTCGTCGTTGCCGATGTTTCCTCCCGGTCTACCCGGGGAAAGCGGCTGACAAACAGGCGCCACCGCTCCGCCGCCGCCGCCGGCAGCGGCCGCAACCAGGCCGGGCAGCGGTATCGCCCCCGCCCACCGCGCCGGATTCACCGCCGACGCGTTCGACGTCGGCGGCCCCATCTCGGCGGCGCCAGGTGCGGCAGAACCGGCAACGCCAAATGCGGCAAAACCATTACCGCTAGGCGCAGCGGGATCAGGACCACCACCGTTGCCTTCGTGACCGCCACCGCCTCCGCCGTCACCAGCTACGGGAGCGGCGCCAGGAGCAACGGCGGAAGCGGCGGTAGCGCCAGCGGCGGCGGCAGATCCTTGTTTCTGTCTCGATTCAGCCTCGGCGGTTCGAGCGCTCACGGTCCCCGGCCGAACGAGCGCGCCGACGAAAGCGGCGTAATCTCCTCCCGGCGCTTCGGCCGAACCACCCGAACCGACACCGGCACCGCCGTCGCCGCCGCTGTGGCCGGCGCTGTCGTTGCCATCAGCAGCAGCACCAGCAGCACCAGCAGCACTGCTGCTGCTGCTGCTGCTGCTGATCTCTGAGCCCACACGGGCCTTCGTCCCCTGCCCTGCCGCCGCCGTCGTCGCGTTCAGCCCCGAAGCCGCGGTCATGCCGCTAGCCGTTTCTCCGGCACCAGCAGCACCAGCAGCAGCGACGGAGGGGTCTTCCAGGCCCTCGTTCCTGCTGCCGTCGGCGCCGTCCCCACCACCACCGCCACCGCCACCGGCTCCGGTCGCCGTCGCCGTGACCTCTCCCTGCTTCCTCCCCTTCGGCAGCACGGCCGCCGTCGCTGCTGCCAGCGCAGAGGCCACCTCCTCCGACGTGAGCGGGCTCCCGTCACCCCTAATCACCGTCCTGCCTACGTCGTGGTCGAAGAAGCGGTTAGTGCCACCGGCGCCGCCGCCGCCGCCACCAGCGCCAGCGCCAGCGACGGGGAGCAGATCTACGCCGGCGACGTCGCCGCTGCTAAGGCTGCCGCTGCTGCTGCTGCTGATACTGCCGTCAGCGTTCACCCGAGGAGGACCAGCACCCCCCCTAAACACGGGGTTGACAATGCTGAACCCCCCCTCGTCGCCGCTGTTGTTGGCGCCGCCCGCCCCCGCTGTCTCGGGGGCGCGGTCCTCCTCCTTTTGTTCGTAGCCGTCGTGCCCGTCCTCCTCCTCCTCCTCCTCGTCCACGCTGAACGGGGAGTACTGAGTCGACAGGGACGGGGCCTGAGAGGCGGGGACGAAGACCCCCCCTTCGTCCTTCTCCAGGACGGAGAGCGGCGACGGCGGCGTCGACGACGATGAGGACGACGATCGGCCGCCGCCGCGCTTGTTGTTGTTCTTCTGCTTCGCGTCCTTCGCGTCGTCCTCGCGCCGACGCAGGTCTCCGAGCACATCGGAGCTTTCGTCATTGTCGTCTTCGTCCTTGTCTTCGTCCTCGTTGTACCCATCCTTCTTCTGGTCAGCCGCGGCGGTAGCGGCGGTAGAGGCGGTAGCGGCGGTAGCGGCGGCGGCGGCGGCGGAGTTGTCTTCTTCGCGACGCAGGTCTCCGAGCACGTCAGAGCTCCCGTGATCGCCGTCTTCGTCCTCGCCGTTGTCATCCTTATCCTCGCGCTTCCCTTCGGTGGCGCCGCCGCCGCTGTAGTCCTCTCGCTGTGCCTTTGCCTCGGTGGCAGCGGGGGAGACGGGGGCACCGTCGCTGCAATCTTTCTCTACCCCCACTTCCTGACCACCCACGCGGCCACCACTAGTGCCGCTAATGCCGCTGACGCCGTCAACCTTGACGCCGTTGCCGAAGCCGTCCGCAAAGAAGCCGTTGCCGGCGCTGGCGCCGCCAAACCCGCTAACCACGCTGCCGCCGCCGCCGCTGCTGATTCCGTTAGCAAAGAAGCCGCTATCACCGCCGGCACCGGCGCTAACGCCGTCGGTCTTGACGCCGCTGCTGAAGCCGTTAGCAAAGAAGCCGCTATTCTCGCTCGTGCCGTCGGTCTTAACGCCGCTGCCAAAGTCAGCCTTAACGCCGCTGCTGCTGAAGCCGTTGCCAAAGAAGCTGTTACCCCTACCAGCGCCGCCAGTCTTACCGCCGCCGCTACCGAAGCCGATAGCGAAGAAGCCGCCGCCGCCGCCGCCTTCCGGTAAAGTCGCAAACTTTCCCGGCCCCGATGGCGGCGATTGCGTGATAGCGGAGAGCGGGCCGGCGCCGGCGCCGCCGGTCTTGTCAACACGCCGTGAATCCATCATGCGGCGGCGGTGGCCTGCAGTATGTACGGTGTGCGTGTGGCGGGGGGTGGGGTTAGCACAGCACGGGGGAGAGAGCAGGGCACGAGTGTCTCTCCGTCTCTGTCTCTGTCTCTGTCTCTCTGTCTCTCCATCTCTTCTATCCGCTCCAGGGTCCTTCCAGGTCAAAACCTACAGACATCGACCGAGCTATGACCGGTCCATGAATGGATGAGAAGGCACGACGTAATACTTCTACTAAATAGGAACAAGAGGTGTTCCCTTCCTCTCACCACCCGGGGTAACGCAGTCTGCGAGCACGTCTCCCGTGGACCGTCGGCGCCGGTTGTTCCTCCGCCTGGCCGCGGCGACGGCGGCGCCCAGCGTCTTCCGCTTCGTCCTCAGCCTCACGTCTCTCTTCCCGCCGCCGCCGCCGACGCCGCCGCCTTCGGCAGCATCGTTATCGTGTTGGTCGTTGTCGTTGTCGTCGTCGCCATCATCCCCCGGCGTCGCTGACGATGACCCGGTCGGCCCCGGGCCTGAGAGCAAAAAAAATGAGAGAGAGGCCGTTCGATCATCATTATCACCGAAACGAAAAAAAAAAAAAGTAAGAACAAGGAAAAACTCATAGCCTGGTTTGGTGTGTTGTTGTTGTAGTGTTTTTGGAGTAAGACATGGTGGCATCGTTGCTCGCTTCGCTCGAAGACACTTCGCACGGGGTTTAGGGCGCGGTGCAGTGTGCGGTCACAGTGCCGTGTGACTCGATTCGCTCGAAGGCACTTCACGGGGATTCGAGCGTCGTGCAGTGTGCGTCATAGGAGTGCCGTGTTGCTCGCATGTACTCAAAGGCAGTTCATGCGCAGCAGCGTCATGTTGCCCCTCTCGAGGAATTCCTTATGTGCTTCGTTACACACCGGTGTGCCTCTCTTCTCTCCGTTCGTAGCCACTTGGCTATATTGCACAAGATGATTAATAGTTGGACCGCTCAGCAAGTGCATACTCCCCCCCTCGACACGTGTTGGCCCACCCAAACCGTTGTACAGAACTCCAGGCCACACACCCGCCCACCCGTCTGGGGCGTTGTATGACCGTCTTTCGTCCCACAGTGTAGCGTAAGTAACTCCCCTACCCCTCACGTTAACCGTAACAGTGGGCGGTGCCTTTTGTCGCATGTCGGCTAGAGCGTCGTTGATGGCATCGATGGGCGGTTGGAACGCCTCCTTGAGGAACTCTCTTGCTTACTCTCTGTCCTGCAAGACATCATCGTCTGGTAACACGAGGAGGAACAGGCCGTCTAGAGTTTTCCCCCTGGGCACGGCGGTGTACCCCTGACCCTGGGCGAAGAACCCTCTAGAAGGAATCCACATGGCCACCCTTTCGAACCCTACTCCTTGCACTCTGTGTACGGTCATGTAAGCAGCGACCATGAAAGGCCATTGCTTAACGATGTACGCGCCGCTGACCTCTACCACCCTGCAGTAGGGCACCCATACGCCTTTGTCCTCGAAGGGCTGTATTTTGACAGTGCTCTCCCTCCCCTCGCCGGTCGTAAGCTCAACCTCGACCCACGCGGGGCGTGTATGGTCTACGTCCTGCTCGTTGATCTCTGCCTCCAACGAAGCCGCAGTGTCTTCCCAGCGCCTGACGAGACCACAAGTTGCGTTGACGATCCCACGCTGCTGGTCGACGTTTTTCGTGATGACAATCTGAGTATTGTAAAAGAAGACATGTCGAGGGCGGGAAGGTTCGGTGTTTGTTATTCGTTCTAGGCAAGAGGCAAAACGTATGAGGCAGAGAGTAACTTGCAACGTGGTGGTGTCCAACTTTGCCACCAACCAAGCAGGTCGAATACTCCATGAATCTCACCTTGAGTCCCTCGTGGAGGACAAGGGTGTCAGGCAAGTCAGCGTACTCGAGGACGATAGGGTGGCACCCTTGTCGCGGTTGAGGTTCGTGCCGTTCTGTTTGACGAAGGCCTGGGCATGCAGGAAGCGGCATTCCTCCCCGTTGTCTCCCAGGGCTCGGAGGTGGTCCTCGTTAATCTCGTGGCAATGAGGTACAGTATCGCCTTGGT